TGTTTTGTATCTCATACACACAGTCTAAGTTTAAACATCATTTACCTTATTTTATTCTTCATGTGTCCCTAGATTAATACTCAACTGCAAGCAAAGGATCTATGACAATACCGCCTGTATCATGTACAGTTTGTGATAAGCAACTATCATAAATCTGAGGGAATATCATACGCTCATATTACTTAGTTTCACTAAGCAAAGAATGAGGATTAGAAGAAATGACTCCTTTTTAAAATTGGAAAACCTCAATCAACACATTTTACACTAATATCACAAATGGATTACGACAGTAATTTCAGTGAGGAATACAATGGCCTCAGCCAATACCAATCAGAGTTGGCTCTGTTTGTAGTCCCTGTTATAAAGGAACGAAAAAAAAAGTATTCTTCATCCTCTATGCTTAATGTTTAGAAAGCCTTTTAAACGCGTCAGAATTAAATGCTTAAAAAACGGTAGAAGAAACAAAAATACACTTTCAGAAACAGCACATATTTTACATTAGGTAGATAAAGTAAAAAATTTCCACAGGGTTACTACTGCATTGCATTATTTGAAAGGTTGGTGCTAAGTTTTCTTGCAATACCATAGTATCACCACACTGAGGAAGGTCAGTACATCTTAGAATAGAATCATGAGGTGCCACACCCAGAAAACAACCAAACAGAAATGCTGAGTACTGTACCAACACACAGACCTTAACAGAGCTGATAACGGTTAGGAAAAAAATGAGCTTATGTACTACAGGAATGGAGAAGAGAACAAAATATTAAAAATGTGTTCTTGAAAGTTACAGTCTAACAGGGATAATGATTAAAGACAAAGAACCAAAACCAAACCAAACCTGTTGCCGTTGAGTTGACTCTGACTCTGACTCACAGCGACCCTATAGGACAGAGTAGAACTGCCCCCCAGAGTTTCCAAGGAGCACCTGGTGTATTCAAACTGCCGACCCTTTGGTTAGCAGCCATAGCACTTAACCACTACGCCACCAGGGTTTCCAATTGACAAAGGGTGTGGATATATTTAAAATACAATTTTCTTAACAAAGCTTGATTTGCCAAAATTAAAGGGACATACCAAGTTAGAATTAAATTATAAAATATGCATTTAACTTACAGAAATATAGAGAAATTAATGAAAAAGAAACGAAGATCCCCAAAGTAGCCTCTGGTGGTATGGTGATTAAGCTTTTGGCTGCTAACCAAAAGGTCAGCAGTTTGAATCCGCCAGGATCTCCTTGGAAACCCTATGGGGCAGTTCTACTCTGTCCTATAGGGTTGCTATCAACAGCAATGGGTATATTTAAAAAAAAAATCAGTTTATGATAAAGGTGGGATATTATATCTGTGGGAAAATACTGAAATATTCAATAAATGGTACTAAAAATGGGCTAGGAAAAAATCAGTTAAGATTCCTCATGATGATCATTAAAAGTACTTAGATAGATTAAATAAAAATTAAGTTATAAACATATAAGAAAAATACAAATAAATACTTGCACGCTTTCGAGATAGGACTTCCTAAGAATTACACCAAAGGAAGAAACCATAAAGGAAAAGAATTCATGTAACAATGAAAACTCTTAGGAGCAAAAATACACCATAAAAAAGTTATAAGCCCAACAAAAACTGAGGAAAAAGAAAAAATACATAACCAAATCACATAAATGGGGTGATGCAGCTGGAATTGAGAAATGTCCTATCTGGGAGGTGGAACAGAAAGTTATTAGGATTTATCCATATTCTCTTTCTTTCCCCATATCTCTTTTCTCTGTCTATTTTGCTTTATTCTTTGAGTCTTTCCCAGTCCTACCATGCCTTTCTGGGTTTTGTTTTTGCTTGCTCAGTTTTTGATGGTTGTTCTAAAAATCTCAGAGTACCATAACTGTCCCCAATTAGGTTGTTGGATCATCACTTAAACTGCATTGTGGCAGTGGGATGAAGTTCCACGACTGGCTCAGCCTGGATAACATGCCTAACCCTGAGGGAAAAGGTGTGAAATTAGAGCCTGGCAATCTGTCACCAAAACCACACGAACAGGACTCTGGAGCCTGACCATTTGGATTCCTCCATTTACATGTTGTGTGACGTTGGGCAAGTTTTAAAATCATTCTGTGGCTCACTGTTCTTCTGTAAAATGGGAATAACATAACAGTATTTATCTCAAAAAGGGGACATTGGTGGTTCATTGGTAGAATTCTTGCCTTCCATGAGGGAAATCGGGTTCAATTCCCAGGCAATGCACTCATGTGCAGCCACTACCCATCTGTCAGTGGAGGCTTGCATGTTGCTATGATGCCGAATAGTTTTCAACAGAGCTTCCAGACTAAGATGGACTAGGAAGAAAGGCCTGGTGATCTACTTCTGAAGAATCAGACAATGAAAACCCTATAGATCACAACAGTTCAATTCTGTTGTGCATGGAATCACCATGAGTTGGGGCCTACTCGAGGGCCGCTGACAACAACACTCTGTTGTTATCTCTCAGGAATGTTATTAGTTTGTGTCCAATAAGGCAAGATGAAATACACAGAAATTTGAATAAGGAAAGTTTAATATACATAATTATAATCTGTAACAGGGTTTGGAGTTGTAAGGCATTGGCTAGTAAGAAATAAAGAGAATTTCTAAAGAATATAAGTACAGCAGATGTAAGGAGCAGTATCTACCCCTAGGGCTTCCAGGGGTAGACTGAACACCCAAAAGGGGAGGACCCTCAGAGCTGAGATTCAGATCTTGTTGAAGAGGGCTTGCTCATGGCTCACTTAATGGCAGAGAAGTCACTGATACTGCATTGATGGAAGTTGCTGGAAATCTGTCCTCTAGTTGCTGGAAATGTTCCCGCTAGGGTATTTACAAAGCACTCTGCTGGAAAACTACCTCAGAGAATACCAGGGGAAGCTGCTGGCCACTGTGTACTGCTGGCCTCTGCACATGACAGGAGCCTTGTGCTGGTGAAGCTGTGCACACTGTATAAATCTGGTATTGGAGAAACTGCCCATGTTGCAGGATTTGGGCACTGGGGAAACCACACACATTGCAGGAGTCTGTGCAGTAATTGGTACCAGGAAGTAAGACCCTTTTCCTCTTGCGGTGTCTCTCTAGCGCCTTCTATATATTTACAAAAACTCATTGCTGTCAAGTCAGTTCTGACTCATAGCGACCCTATAGGACAGAGTAGAACTACTCCATAGAGTTTCCAAGGAGCAGCTGGTAGATTCAAACTGCCGACCTTTTGGTTAGCAGCCATATCTTTTAACCACTATGTCACCAGGGTTTCCTGTGTGTGTGTGTGCGTGTGCGTGTGCGTGTGCGTGTGTGTGTGTGTGAAGGCAAGGAGGGGTAAATTTAGTTACACGGCAATAAAGTGATACTTAGATTCCTTCTATTGCTAACAATTTTTAATTATTAGCTAATTTCATGTTCTTTGTTAAAAACAGAAACTAAGCTCTTCCTTATTTCCATAAATATCATTGTTAGCAAAGTACAAATACATCAAAATATGTGCATAATAGTCACAATATTAAGTACATTGTTCAGAAACAGTGGTTGCTCAAAAAATACCTATTGCTTTGACATGGTTATAGCAATGTGTAGCTTCTACTTAAGGAAGACTATGATCCCTGTTAATATCCTGGGGATATTTTATCTTGATGCTACAAATAATAAGGTCTAACACTTTTGGGCTGTGAGGCTTATAGGTATTTTTTCCTCCAAACTGGGTAGAGAGCATATGTCACCTGGCACAGTCTTCCCAAGAGTGGAAAACAGAATGGACAAATATAGAATAAGGTCTTGACTCATATGAACTTTTAAAGGGTTCTGGGGAATTAAACTAGAGCATTAAAGATTGTTAGGATGAAGAGGTATTTATTTGTACTGTATAATTTTTTACCACTTCTCCTTCTATTTATAATTATCACTTACTTACTTAGGGTCATTAGATCCTAATCATTATTTTAAAACATCATTTTAACCAATTTACTCTTCCCAAATTAAAACTAATTTGTCGTATCCCAGAAAATTTTTGAAGGAAAATATAAATGGCTTACCAGGTAAAATTTAATTTTACATAATTTATATTTTTGTAAAGAATAATTTTAACCAACGGGGGTAAAAAAAGAAAACTTCCAAGACTTAACCAGTTTTTCATCCAACAGCCAGTTTCTCGGAAAAACTTATGAATTTTCTCTAACCTGCATTTTATTACCTAGAATCTTAGAGTTTATTGTGTAGAGACCTCTAAACATCCTGTATAGCCCTTATCACAACTTGAAATTATATATTTAACTGTGAGTTGATTTAAGGTGTTTCTTCCACCAGCCTGTATATTCTATGAGGCCAGGGACCATGTCAACATTATTTACTTCTGTATATCTAGTACACAGTAGGCCCTTGTGAATGAATAAAACAAGGTAGAACCCCTACCATTCACCTCACTTCACCCTCTAACAGGATAGTCCAGATCTACAGCAGACAAACACCACTTTGGGATTTACTCTGAAAACTAGAAGAGAAGGGACCTTTCTGTGTTCCCCAATCATCTCACTCGATCTCCTCCCCTCCACTGTGCTCTCATTGTCATAAACATACTTCTGTTAATGCCCTTATCACATTGCGTTGTAACTAAATGCCCCCAAAGGAAATGAACTAGATACCTGTGTGCCCATAATCTGACAATGCCAGGCAATTCCCTTTTGTTTTAATTGCCAACTAGCATTAAGAATTGGTTTATGAAAATGATACATTAGCTCAGAATGCAAGAGCGTATTGGATGACACTAAGCAGAAACTGAATGAAGTTAATAACTCAATAATTACTACAAAATAAATCACCTCTTTCTAGTTACAAATTGATAGAAAAAAAATCATATGAGTTAGTATATCTCAAAAGAATCCTAAACAATTAATACTAACAAATCATCAACAGTCCTATTATTTTTTTCATGTAAAATAACCCCTTCATAATTTTTTCAGTAAAAAGCCAGAAAGAAATACATACATGATGGTGTTAATGCCTGATAGCTGTTGGAACATTTGGAGGCCACAACCCACAATTAAAGCTCGGCGAGTGGGGGGATAAGTCAGCATTCTGCAGATAACAGGTCCAGCTTTTAAAAAGGAAAAAAAGAAAAGGACATATTTATTATTTTGAGCTCACACAGTAATTATTCCCATTAGGATAAATTTCCCCAAAGCTCTGTGAAATCGACATGACTGATCATTTTAAAATAGACCAAATATACATTCACAGAAGTCTGGACACAAGGTATTTTTTTAAACAGACTTAAACTGTAAGTTTAAACTGTAAAGCTAACAAGAAAGAATTCAAGGTAGGGTAATTTGTGGGTACTATGAAGACTTACATAACTGTAACTGTCGGAAATCATTCTTTCTTAAATCCCTGTGAGCTATATTTATTAAGCACTCTCTTTGTTCTTTTACTTCCCTGGCAATTAATTATTATTTAAAACACATTCCATGTGAGACTACTTACAAAGTTACTGGCAAACTTGCTTTATTAAACCAAAAGAATAGCATTCATTAAAAACAATTAAAGAAGAAACAAAGTTCATTCAAAACTATTTGACTAAACGTAAAGAATTTTAGTAGTTTATCAAGCCTGGTAATGGTTACAATGAATAAAATAGATAAATGATCTAGATTAACAATATATAATTTACTGCTTTTAATTTTTCAATAATATTAATAAAAGTCACCAAAAAGTTAAAAAGGAAAAAAAGTATATATTATAAGAAAGTGTATATAGGGTTATTTCTAAACTTTGGATAGTTCCCTGAGAGGTATTAAATGTTCTTTCAAAACATAAAAGGGCCTTTCAAATGGGACAGACTCCTTGGTCTTTATGTCCGAACCCTACATTAATTCTGGAAAGCTGTAAATCTGGACCACTGAAGCATTAAGTAAGATGACTAGCCTTACTAATACCTGTTACCTGAGCATAATTACTAAAAATGCCCCTTCTACTCTCAGAAATGCTCCAATTTGGACGATACAGCTTTAAAGAGGCATACTATATGGTATCCTTATTGGCCGGAGCCGATTCCCAGAACCTATGGTATTTCTACTGTTAGAAGAGATAGTTCTGAGACCAGAAGAGCTAGATGGTACTCGGCTACCACAATGACTGCCCTGACAGAGAACACAACAGAGAATCCCTGATGGAGCAGGAGAAAAGTGGGGTGCAGAACTCAAATTCTAGTAAAAAGACCAGACTTAACGGTTTGATTGAGACTGCAAAGACCCCAGAAGACATGGCCCCCGGACTCTCTGTTAGCCGAAAACTAAAACCATTCCCGAGGCCAACTCTTCAGACAAAGATTAGACTGGTCTATGGGACATAAAATGATACTCGTGAAGAGAGTGCTTCTTAGCTCAAGTAGACACGTGAGACTAAATGGGCAGCTCCTGTCCAAAGGCAGGATGAGATGGCAGAAAGGGAAATCTGGGATGGAAACGAAGAGTGTGCTGTCACAGTACAGGGAGAGCAACTAGGGTCACAAAACAATGTATGTATAAACTTTTGTATGAGAGACTAACTTGAATTGTAAACTTTCACTTGAAGCACCACAATAAAAAAATTAAAAAAAAAAAAAAGAGAGAGATTGGCTCTGGGACTACCAAGATGCTGATTACTTAATTAGAAGCATTTTTCCTGGAGGTCACATTTTGTTAGTAAATCCAAAACAAAGTCAAGAAAATAAAATCCAGGGAAGTTTCAACACTTTGGGAATCTTTTGGAAATCTAATATTCCAGTTCAAGAAAATAGAACAGAATATGCTGTTGTTTCAACAGATGAATGGATAAACAAACTATGGTACGCATACACAATGGAATACTATGCAACAATAAAGAACAGTGATGAATCTGCGAAGCATCTCATAACTTGGATGAATCTGGAGGGCATTATGCTGAGTGAAATAAGTCAATCACAGAAGGACAACTATTGTATAAGACCACAACTATAAAAATTCATGAAAAGGTTTACACACAAAAAGAAACAATCTCCGATGGTTATGAGAGAGGGGAGGGGTGGGGATGGAAAAACACTATATAGACAATAGATAAGTGGTAACTTAGGAGTAAGACAGTACACAATACTGGGGAAGCCAGCACAACTTATACAAGGAAAGGTTATGGAAGCTCCATAGACACATTCAAACTCCCTGAGGGATCGAATTGCTGGACTGAGGGCTGTGGGGACCATGGTCTCAGGAAACATCTAGCTTATAAAGAAAATGTTCTATATTCTACTTTGGTAAGTAGCATCTGGGGTCTTAAAGGCTTGTGAGTGGCCATCTAAGATACTCCACTGACCTCACCTCTTCGGGAGCAAGGGAGAATGAAGAAAACTAAAGATACATCAAGATTTGATTTACTACAAACAATCTGTTTGTATCTAAATGGCAAAAGAGAACACAGATGAACTCAGACAAGAGTGGATGGTCATTCAAAGCTAAAACCCAGTGACAACCCATTTAGAAAGCAGGCTGAGAGTAATATAAATGCCAAATTGCCTTAGATTCAAGCAAGCAATATTAAAACCTAATCTATTAGAAAGATTGAGTGAAACTGGTAGATTTTGGAGCTTCACCGTGACAACATTAAAATATATCTGTGTCAGTTGCCTGAAAGATGGGCTGTCTTATCTGTAAATATATCAAAACCAAACCCAATGCCGTCAAGTCGATTCTGACTCATAGTGACTCTACAGGACAGAGCAGAACTACCCCACAGGGTTTCCAAGGACTGGCTGGTGGATTCCAACTGCTGACCTTTTGGCTAGCAGCCAAGCTCTTAACCATTGCATCACCAGGGCTCCTCTGTAAATATACGTATGAAAAAAAGAGGCACAATTGAACATACACAGCATCATATAGACATCTACATTTTTTCATAAATCAGAACTTTATAAAAATAAAAGATTATCATCTACCGTGTGAAATTTTAAAGTTCATTCAATTTAAGTAGCATGGATCATTTAAAAAGGGAAACAACAACAAAACAAAACAATCAAACCCCTCTTCTCAGCTTTTAGTAACCGCGACAGATGAGAAACTGGCCTTTCTTTCTGCAAGAAATCTATTATCATTCCTTGGACAGATGCTTCTCCTTCTACTATTAAACTGTTTCATGATTTGATAGATGGATTGGGTAATATTGCTTTTGGATGGCAGATAAATAAAGAGAAAATTATAACAAATTAGGATGAAAGTTTGACTTGCCTAAATACCAAGCGATAAACTAGTACCTAAACATCACATATTTATTTCCTAGTTTTTTAAAAATCTTGATTTTGTTCTTACTCTTGGTTTGAAATTCCTGCTAAAAATATACAATGCTGGTTTCTTAATTAGACTTGGATTTTTTTTTTTTTTTTAAAGATAAATTTTGGTCACAGAAGCTGCACATCTGATTATGCGTAAATAAAATTAAAGAATTTCCTTTCATTAAATCATAAACCAAGCTTTAATAGGCAATAAAACTGACTTAACAAATGAAAATCATCATTAATCTTTATATCACAGAAGATACGAGGCAGAAGAAAAAATTCAAATATATTAATTGGCTGAATGTTCCTAAGTGAAAATTTAAAATGTCATACTGTACTTTTTACATTTCTTTTGCAATTAAAAATATTTTATCTATGCAATGTTTTATACTTAATTTTCTTTTAAACGGTTGTGTCTTTCAAACACAAAAATTTCCACACAATAAAAACTAAAACATGTACAGAACCCAAAGTAGATTGGAAATAAAGAACTCAAAACATAACACATAAGAAAGACAATAGATGCAATAATACAAAATGGATTCATCTTTTCCCTCATTCTTAATGCCTTATATTCAAATTGCTAAATAACCTTCAAATTGATGGTCTAGGTGTGGCAGGGCCTGTGGTAGCAGGGATGCAAAAGGAAGTCCCACGATAGTCCAGTAGATACAAGAGACCAAAGGGGCAGCGTCTTTCCGGAGGTGAGATGGGAAGGCAGAGAGGGTTAGGAACTGGTTGAATGGTCATGGGGAATCAGGGGCAGAAATGGGGTGAACAGTTAGGGTCATATAACAATGTATGTAAAAAATTCTGTATGAGAGACTAATTTGAAATGTAAACTTCATTTAACTACAACAACAATAATAAAAAAAAAAAAGGAAGTCCCACGAGTGTAATCATTCCTGTGGACACGCTGTCTGTGCGCTTACAGAAGGCTGCCCATGTACAACTAAAAATGCACTAGAATACATTTTGTGTAAAATCCTGACTTCTGCTTCCAGTCAAGATGGAGTAACAGTTACCAGATTTACCTTCCAAAATGAAACAACTAAAAAACGTACAAAGATATACAACACAATAGTTCTCAAGATATTAGATAACAGGCAATGAAAGATAGTGAATTAGAGAAACATATGAGGTGAACTCTGTAACACTCAGCTTAATGCTTCAAAAAGGCTTCCAGGCTATGTTACAGGGAGTGGAAACCAGGCTGACCCTGGTGTTTTCCTTCAGTTGAAAAGACACAGATCAGAATCCAGAGACACCAAAATGGCTAGAGTTCACAGAGCAGAGAACTGGAGAGCGAAGCAGAGAGAAAACTCTGGTGAGCCGCAGCGTTCTCTAAGTATTCAACTGAGTACAGATCAGTGCACGTGTGTGAGGTAACTACCAAGGCAGGGAAGAAGCCTCAGGAGAGGATTAGAGAAAACAATCCCAAGGGTTCACACAGGGTTGGGAATCAACTGGAGTGAAAAACCTGAAGCAGCAGACTATCAAGCAAGGGTATAAATTTAGTTCTAGATTAAACACTGTTAGGGTATCATCTAAAAAAGCTTAAAACTGAAACCAAATAACTGAATAACATCCCAGAACAAACCTTAACAATTAGATAAAATATCTGTCATTCAATAAAAGATTTACCAGGCACGCAAACAGGCCGCAAAATGTAACCTATAATAACAAAGGGATACAAGCATCAAGAGGACATAACAATCCTAAATGTTCGTTAACCTAATGAAAGCTTCAAAACACAAGGATCAAAAACTGAAACAACTGCAAGTAGAAACAGACAAATCCACAATTATACCAATATC